AGAGAGAGAGAGACAGAGCGAGAGCAAGGGAGGGGCAGAGAGAGAGGGAGACAGAATCTGAAGCAGGCTCCAGGCTCCTGAGCTGTCAGCACAGAGCCCGATGCAGGGCTCAAACCCCCCAGCCGTGAGATCATGACCTGAACCGAAGTCGGATGCTTAACTGACTGAGCCACCCAGGTGCCCTGGGTCTTTTTCATTTCTGTATCTCCAGAGTATCCCATACTGAGCCTCACACATGGTAAGATAAATGAGTGATGGATGAACTCATGGATAAATGGTTATATAGATACGTCCTGTTAAATTTGAAATCTTGTCACATTTATAATACGCACGTATAGATTCTCTGCCATGTAAAGCAGACAATCTATTTCAGTTTTTCTATGTGCTGAAAAAAATGATTGAGAAATATTATAGTATCCAGAGGCTTCTATAAACGTATTCCACGAAAAATGTAGGTTTTCATCTAGACTCTATGTTACAGTGTCTTAATTCAATTCCCAGTGACCTAAGAAAAGCAACATTATTCCAGAAGTATTCTATTGGAAACATTTCCTAGGAACAGTTTATTTGGTTGATCTTTCAAATACTTTGTCACATGTAATAATATCTGAAGTAAGTGTTAAAATGGCTTTACGGTTTCTGTGCAGGGTGATCTGTTGACTGGTGTAATCTGTCTGTAGCTTTTTCACAGAGAATGTGTAACCCTATTATGTCTGTACAGAGAACGCTACATAATCACGTTTGGCTGGGTCTTTAAAATGGACTTTGCCTTTTCCCTTCATCCTACGACCATGGAGTAGCTCTTTGGCACATGAAAAAGCTATCCAAGTGTATAGGAAAAGAGCAGGAGGCTCATCCTTTCTCACTCCAAGTGTAGGGAATACAGAGGTTTTTGTTTCTGTTTTTTTCCTGTTGTCTGTTCTTTTGAATTACGAATGCACATTTATTTATTCATACATGCTGCAAAAAATGCAAATACATCACAATGGTTCCATTAAAAAATTTTCCAACTCCTCCTTCTTCACTGCCAATTTCTTTCCCCACAGGTAAACATGTTTTTATTCGTATTTCAATTTGGTTGTGGATAATTAATACTGGTGCAAACATCAAAAACTATGAAAAGGTGGAGTCTCCCACCCATTTCCCATTACACCAGAGCAGATGATCATTGCCATTAGCTTTGTTTGCTCTTCTAGAACGAACACAGGGTTGTATAACATTTAGCAAAGAACACTTTCCTTCAAAGTTCGCACTCTAAGCTAAATATTTCGGACATAAAATTCAGTAGAAAATATGTTAACATTTGTTGCCATTCTTCTCCCCCCACCCCCCCCCCCCCCCACACACACACACCTTCTTGAGGCATCTTTAAACAAGACAAAGAGAGGCCCACATGGGATTTTCATTAAACTATGAGTCAGCTAGGGGTGCCTGGGTGGCTCAGTCGGTTAAGCATCAGGTCATGATCTCGCAGTTCGTGAAATCAGCCCTGCATCGGGCTCTATGGTGACAGCTCGGAGCCTGGAGCCTGCTTCGGATGCTGTGTCTCCCTCTCTCTTTCTGCCCACCCCCTCCACTCGTGTTCTGATGTCTTTCTCTCTCAAAAACAAATAAACGTTAAAAAAATTTTTTTTAAAATCTGAATCAACTAAGTAAATTTGTTTTCCTCAGAAGGTAGCTCATTGTTTAGATTTGCTGACTTATTAGGGAGGTAGAAGAGGAATCCTGCAAAACTTAGAAAACTTTTCCCTAAGGTACAAATAGGAAAATGCCTGCCATTTTAGATCTGGCCCCTGGTGGTACTGAGCAAAAGTCCTGTGTTGGCTTCAGATCCTACATTGCTCATAAATCCGAACCGCAAACATCTCCATGTGATGCAAGTGGCCCAGGCGAAGGCCAGTGGTTTTCCAGGAAATGTCCTCAGCACCGTATGTGTTTAAGAAGTGTGTTCTCAAAGTTTTCCTGAGATAAAATTGCACTATTTCTCCACAGGAGAAATGCACTTGCCAGGGTGGACATTTCAGTCACCCCATTAAAAGCACTCTTCCAAATCTATCAGAAGGGAGATAGGGAGTTTATATGGTTGATCTTTCAAATACCTGAAACTAACATCTAAATGTTAGTTTCAGTGAGAATATGGGTCCAAGGTTTAACATGGCTGGCAACTTTAATTTTCAGGCTCGCTTGTTCTTATTATGTTACTTTGTCTCCGCCCCCCCCCCCCCCGTATTTCTGGAGAAAGGAAAAATTAGTTGCCAGATAATGCAGCACTCAAGCAAACACTAGATGAACAGTACAGATTTTCCTCGAGACAATGCCTTCTATTTGATGATGACCTGAAAATCTCAGAGTACTCTAAAGACTTCAAAAAAACATTTTCTTCCTATTTTAAATCTCATTAACCTGCTCTTCTATCCTCTCAGTGCCATATAATGGAAGTAGAGAGAACAGAGTATCATTACCTGTTTATGCATGAGAAAGCTGAGGCCACAGGAATAGTCTAAGTGCTCGGGGGGGGGGGGGGGGGGACACACACAAAGTCAGAGATAAAATCGAGAAAAGACTTCTGGGCTCCCCCGTCATTGTTAGCTCTGAGAAGACTGTGCTTGTGGCATTCTCTCCTTTGCCTTTAACTAAGCAGTTCCCTGCCCCAATTTCACCCTGTTCATTTTGTCAACTGGAAACCAATGAGCAGAGAGGATGAGTGTTTGCCTCCCCGCATGACCGGGTACCAAACATAGGAGCTAAAAATAGCAGGTGCAATTGCCAGGCCCTAATCCCTCACTCGGCTCCTTTAGCCTCATATTTGGGGTCCCGATATTAGAAGATATTAGGAGTTCGTGTATCTCCTGGACTGATGGCATCTCTCCTGATATGAAGCTTATTGCCACCACTACCCAAGCCGGGGCTCTGGCTTTGCCACTGACAAAGGGCAGGAGGGAGGGATCCTGGGCCTCCAACTTTAGAAATCTGCAAAGTGCAGAATTATCAAGATAATCCAGGGCAAGGTAGTGTATGACTGGAAAAAACAAATAGGTCAGGGAAAAACAGTTTGAGGCCTTGGGAAACTGTCTCAATTTCCAGTTTACTTTGCTATGTACATACCCCCCCCCCCCAAAAAAAAATGTCCACTGTCACAGAGTGACTATGTGTCACTACACGTCCAGGTAAGGAGGTTAAGGTAAGAAGGAGGTTACATTGAGCTAAATCCCTTGGAAATCTACCCCCCTCAGACATCTTGAAGCTGAAAACCCATTAAAATCAAACAGATTGAAAGAACATCCTAGTCGTCTAAAGAACATTTCCATCAGAGAACAGATCCCTTGAGCAGCGAATTTTTCATTTTATCTGTTTTTTACTTTAAGGCACGGTTAGCCTCCAGAGGCCTCTCTACAAGTTGCTCACCAGTGATTTTCCGAGACATGAGAACTTCTTTAATTGAGAAGGGACAGAGAAGGAAAAAAGTTGGAGAGTGAGCGAATGAGGTTGTAAAATTAATTAGAACAAAAATGGATGCCATTTTCTATACACATTAGTCGAATAGCGTACGTAATAAGCACTAGAGTCTGTTGGTTATCGTAAACTATTTTCATTATAGAAGTAAGTTTTCCTAATTATAGGAAAATTAGAAATTACACGTGAACAAACAAGAAAAATCCACAGTCGCGTCACCAGAGAGAACTACCATATAATTCACTGAATTCCTATCATATTTTCTTGAAGCTATATTTCTTTAATATGTGTGTGTATGTATAGTCGTGTGAAATATACATTATGATACAGATCGTTTGGTAAACTATTTTTCTCACTTCACTACATAGCATAAATATGTTTTATGGGAATAAATATATATCTACATAATTAATTTTAATGGCTACATAACATTTAATTGTATGAATGCACCTAAGTTTATTTAAGCAACATTATTATTGGTACCAATTTTTCAATATGATGAACAGTTCTAGGATAAGCAGCCTTATACAAGTGTCCTTATATACTTGTTTAATTGTTCTCTTAATAAAAATTCCTGGAAGCAAAGTTTCTGGGTCAAAGAAATGCACATTTTTGGACTATTGACTCATTCAGACCATTTAAAAATAGCAAGCGAAGAAGGTTGGAGTACTCTTTAAAATCAACCTGAGCGAGGAATAAATGAGAGACTATATCAGAAAATATAAAGTTAAAAAAAAAAAACAATTATAGCTAGCAACTTTTGAAACTCATTTTAGTTCTCAATCTTGGTGGTTTATGTGTGAAAAGAGAAAGAAAATATGGGAGGGAGGAAGGGATAGACAACAAAAATCGACATAAACAAATGAAGGGAAAGAGAAAGGGGAACCCAGAGGGAGAAACCCAACCACTTGCTTTAGTCCTTCGATCTGCTCCCCTCTATTCCCCCTTGCCTTTTAGCAAAAGCCTAGAATCTCTAAATGGACTCACCCTAAGCGTCCGGGGCCCCAAACTAAGGGGCAGCCACACATCCACCCAGGAACACTCCCAGTCATCCTACAGTGACTCACCAGGATAGGGACCTTCCTTTTCTTAGTCTCAAACTCTTCAGCATAATTTTATTGGTTGAACTTTTTATTTCACTTTCGGAGATGTAGACGAAGGGACAAATTTTCTAAAGTTTCTTAAAGTTATCAGAAATAAAAATTCAAAACTGTGTGATAAAGTATGATTATTTTTAAAGGAAATATCACTTAGAATTCTAAGAATTGGAGGTCTGCAGAAAATCCCTGGTCAGTGAGACCCAAATATCATTTGGATCCTCCAGAATAATAAATACCTTGCATAATAGTCTTTAAGTCTGGTTAACTTTTGAATAATCGATTCTCTATTACTTCCTCTGCAATGTTTTTTCACCAAAGGTAGGAAAACTGAATACAGGGTCAGATCAGCTTAGATGTTTTCCACCTTTAGTGGAAAGTGGCACCTTGACATTCATTGGACAAATGCGGACTTGGACCCCTTAACTTACATTCTTCACAATGCCATAGGAAAAAATGAACTGGATCATGGAAGAGAGAGCAACTTGTGATAAAAGTGTAAAGAGCAGCCCTGGGCACAGCTGGTAAGAAGCCAGCCAGCAAGGAAGAACATTCCACGCAAAGGACACAGGTTAGGCAACTCCAGACGATAGTACCAAGGTAGGTATGGCTCATTTTTGCAAATATGGATCTTGAAATAAGGAGGAATGATCTCTATTCAAAGTGAAGCCATATTTAGCCCTTGTCTTAATCCTTTCAGGCTGCTCTAACATAATACTATGTAGGCTACATGACTTGCAAACAACTGAAATTTATGTCTTAGGTTCTGGAGGCTGGGAAGTCCAAGATGAAGGCACCAGCAGATCTGGTGTTTGCAGCAGGCCACTTCCTGGTTCATAAATGGCCATCTTCTCACTGCGTCTTCATATGATGGCAGGGGTGAGGGAGTTCTCTGGGATGTTAGACTTCAACATATGAATTCGGTGGGGGGACAGAAGCATTCACTCTATAGCAAGGTCTTTAAAACTGTAGACAAGCAGATATAAACAAATCTCTGACCGAGTAAAAACTATTTGATTAGTTTATCTCTGTTTTTAACATATCACTCTCAAATTAGCAATCAATCCATTAACAACTATTATTTTCTTGTCATAATGGAGTAAACATATAGATTGTTCCCTGAACAAGCTTAAATCTGGTTGAAAAGAGAAAATGAATACTGGAAGAATTAAAATGCATTGAAATGTTAAACCGTAGGCATTAACAGAAAGTTCAGTGGGAGTTCATAGATCATTTCAGAGAAAAGAGAGTGGTCTACAGTTGGAGATGGGACTTCATCCATTTCATCAATAAACACTTGTTACATATTTATACTTAGGTACTGGGAAAGACCTAGACACTGGAGACCTAAAATATGCCTTTGTCCTTGAATGGCTCATTGTCTAATGGAAAGAGCCTGAAAATGAAATAAATAATTACAACTCAATGCTATAATATAGATATGTAAAAATTGCTAGGGGAGCAGAAGATATTTATGGGAGAAAAGAGGAAGACTGACTCCCCACCAGAGGAAATGAGAAGAAATGACATTGTGCTAAGGTTTACAGAATGACTCGGTCTTGGGGGGTAGGGATGGGTTAAATGGGTGAAGGGGAGTGGGAGGTACAGGCTTCCAGTTGTGGAGTGAATAAGTCACAGGGATGAAAGTTACAGTGTAGGGAGTATAGTCAGCGGTGTTGTGATAGAAGTGTATGGTGACAGATGATAGGTACACTTGTAGTGAGTATAATATAATGTATAGAGGGGCGCCTGGGTGGCTCAGTTGGAAGAGTATTGATCTCTGGGTTGTGAGTTCGAGCCCCACATTGGATGAGAAATTACTTGAATAAGTACACTTTACAAAGTATATATATAACGTATAGACTTGCCGAATCACTACGTTGTACACCTGAAACTAACATAACATTGTATGGCTGGCTCAGTCGGTACGCATGCAACTCTTGATCTCGGGGTTGTGAGTTTAAGCCCCACATTGGATACAGAGATTGCTTAAAAATAAAATAGTGAACCCTTTAAATCACCCATAAGGTACAGTATCTACATATAGTATCTAGATATCCAGTGTCTAGTAAGCCCAACACAGCCAGATTTTCCTCCACTTTAGGAACAGATTGTTACTTCTTCTTTGAGTACCAGATGAAGAGTTGGCTTGTGTTTATTGGCTCTGTTGTATGAAAAACACTTATCTTTAAACACTGGGATTACACCCTCTGTGGTGAGATACTCACACTAACATACGAGAGGCACCGGGGATCTGAGCAGACTGAGGAAACAGTAGATTCAAGACTCCCACCTCGTGCTCGTTCAGAAGCATAAACTCATCAGACAGAATGGGCCAGCAGACTTGTCCTATTTCTCCCTTTTTGTAGAGTATACAGTTGAATTGTCAAAAATTGAACTCACCTCTCACGTAGCGGCTCACCCTGTGAAGAAAGGAGAAAAGTACCGTAGATAGGGGGACACGATGGGGTAGGCCAAGGAATGACAGAGGATCTTGGCATACTCAGAGAAAACTAAGCAGTCCAGGATGGCTAATGATTGGATAGGGTGCAAAGAGATTCGCAAATGAGGGTTGGACAGCTTGTCATATCATATAAGACTTTGGATTCGACACTGAGGCAATGGAGGAGCCATTTGATATTTTTAAATCAGGAGGTGACAGGATGGGCCTTATTTTTGGAAAGACCATTTTTATAGCCTGTTAAGGATGAGGTCAGCACATTTTTTCTGTAAGGGGCCAGATCACAGACATTTTAGACTTTGTGGGTCATGTGTCGTACATTATGTGTCTCTGTCCCAAGTACTTGTAGCACAAAAGCAGCCGTAGACAATGTGTAAACAAATGGGCATGGTTGTGTTCCAGTAAATTTTTCTTTACAAAAACAAGCTGTGGGCCAGATTTGGCCTGAGGAGCCAAGTTTGTTGAGCCCTGGATAAGGAGATGGTAAGGTTACTGATAGAGCAATCAGTAAACTAGGTGATAGTCCAGGTCAGGGGGTTTCAAAGTAGGCCCCTGACCAACACTGTCAACATCACCTGGGATCTCTGGGGCTGGGTCCCAGCGACCTGGGTTTGAACAAGCCTGCCAGGTTCCAAGCGAGATTCCAATGCTTGCTAAAGTTTGAGAACCATTGATCTAGGACAGGTGACAGAGAAAACATTTCCCCAACATTTTGGGCAGTGGCAGGAGGGAAGAATAGAATGGGACAGATTTAAAATGTTCTAGCAAGATCAGATCTCACTGTCTAACATACTGATGTACAGTAGACAGGACTTTGGTGGTTATTTAGTTGAAAGGCTAGAGAGATAGAAAACAGTAGTTAAATTATCTTCATTTGTTCTGTCCATTTCTTGATCTTGGTGCCTAGGACAATGTGAGGCATAAGGTGCCCACAAAGTATTTTTTTAATGGAACAATGAGTGATTGTTTCAAGGTTTGAAGTTTAGGTGACTGAAGAGATAAGAGATGGCATTAACCAAGAGAGAACCTCCTCCATTGTTTTTGAACAGCTATGAGGAAAGAGGATAAAGCGACAATTCTTGCGTGCCAGCTTAGCCTACTGTGTGCCAGGCAGTTTGTTACCATATTATCTCATTTGTTCCTCAGAACAGTTTTTAAGTATCTCCTACCGTCACCGCTTTCCAAATGAAAACAATTGAGGTTCTGACAGATAAGTAAGGTGGTGCAAGTCTAACACAGCGAGTGAGAACGAAACCTAGGCTCATACCACCTTGCAGAACAGAGTTCTCTTTTGAATTTTGGCCAGACTTTGCAAAATAGGAAAGCTCTAACTATAAAATACCATGGAACTTTACTGCTTACAAAGCGGTTTCATAGATCATTTCTTTTGAAGGAAACCACACCATGTAGCAGAAAAAGCATCAAGTTCTAGGTTCAAGCTTTGTCACTCATGCTGGTCCAGAGGTACCCACGTGCTCATCCATAACGTGGAGGCAAAGACAATAATTAATAGAACTGCTGTGCAAGTCAAATGAGATATATAAAGCACCTGGCATGAGATGGGAACTCTCTAAAGGGTGAATATTGTTATTTTTATCATCCTTAATACAGCTCAGTGTCAAAGCTCTCTCTGTAAGAATGATGATGAGCCACTCCGGCCCCCCAAGAAATCACCTGAGAGAGTTTCTGTCCGTGTAAATCTTACAAGTACCCCTTAATGAGTTTCGCTGTTTTGCTTAAAGGACTTACCTCCTTGTTCAAGGTGTGTTGACATTTAAAGGGGTTTTGAAAGTGGTGAGGTCCATTCCACTTAAAGGCTGGCTTTAGCTTACATTTTTGCTCTTGGTAGCCACAGTGGTCATCCACTGCAAGGTTCCAAGCTCCTTTCACACCAGTTTTCCTTCTTTCGGTGCTTTTATTTACTTGCTTATCCAATCTGCAGTTTCTACACAATTTTCCCGAGTTCCTTCCCCTATGCCTCAAATCAAACAATGGCTGGGCTCGGGGATCAGAGGGAGAGAAAGTTGTTCTTGCAAGAACACCTCCTTGTTTCAAGGGACTTATCTTATGTTACGAAGCCAAAAAAGAAACAGTCTGAAGAAAGCTGGATCTGCTAAAGAGGCAAAACTAATCACTAATCTCTACTTCACTTATTCCTTGTGTTTCCCTTTGTGCTTAGTATTGCATAATGGGGATGGTAGCTCTCCTCCTTTTAAAACCTGAGAATGTCACTTCTTCCACCTCGTGAGAAACAAGTTTTTAACAACACTAGTGCCTTTATCCCAGAGAGGCTGGTTCGTGACACTGTGTTTACCACCTTTTAGAGGAGAAGCTTCTTGCTTTCCACTGTGTTTCAGGTAATTTTAGAAAACAAGTCTACTGCCTTGCAACATGCCAGGTAAACAGCAGTTTCCGTTTCAAGGGGAAATCATACTTGACCATCTTGCCTCCTTGATTCCACTAGATTAGGAAACAAGCAGAGATAAACACAGCTTTCGTGGAGTTGGTTGTACGCTAAGGAAAGGAACAACTGGGCCTTTTAAGATAAATGGAACTGACAAAGAGTGCATTCTGCAAAAAATAAACACAGCTATAGGAGAGTTACTCTGAACACCAATATCTGCAAATGATAGTTAAGTAATTTTGATGCAACGGTCTTTTTCTCAAGATTTGAAATAAAATCTTTCCCCCGGCCCCCCCCCCCCAAACCATTTAACTAAGCTTTTCGTCGTCTGATAAAAATCATGTTGTCAGAAATGACAGAACTAATTTGTGACTTTTTCTCAAATCAATTTTGATGTAATGCAAGATTAAATGAATAGCTTCCCTTTTCTCCCCTACATGAATTAGAACAAATTGTACTGTTCACTGTGTCCTGTCACACAGACTGGCTTGACAGAAACCTCCGGATTTTATTGCAAGATTTGGAGAATAATTATTAGAGATCCATTTTCCCTCAGTGTTTGTTGGGTTCGCAAAGGATAACTGATGAGTTCTCATTGTAGGATGAGAATGTCTGACATGACATTTGGGACGGCTTTACAGTCTAGTCTAGAACTCTCGGACCTTCTCAGGATCCTCCCATTTTTGCTTTGACTGTATTACCTGGGGTGATAAGAACTCAAGTCTCCCAGTTAATGTCCCTTCCACTCAGTGGTGAAATTGGAGAGGGGGAAATCACGCAAGCCATCCTTCTGGTGATTTGTACTCGCGGCAATTCACACTTACAGCCCTCTGCCAATTACACCCGTGTTGTAACTTCTGACACTTACACGGGATGTTTCTCACATGAACATATGTTGTTCTCCTCTTTGGAGGAAATGAATCCCAACCTTTTGCACACTAGCAGGCCACGATTCGTTCTAATCCCAAGGTTTTATGACAGGAAAATTGACTATAAGAAAACAAGGGAATTGACCATAAGGACACTGAGTTCGTTTTCTCTGGGGCATCAGATCACTGCCCCAAAATTTCTTTCAATGCGCTGGTCAAAACGTCCTCAAGGAAATCATCTTGAAATCCATCAAACAAATAAACCTGCTCCTTAGAGTTGTTTTGCTTCAGTATAACATTTGGCAGGAAAATGTGGTCAAGGAGAGTGCATCATATTAAATGGATTTTATGTTTATTGACTACTTGTAGCACCACTTAATTGATTTATGCATGCTTTAGAAAGCTTTATGCTCTGAAACATATAATATATCATTTATAGTTTTTTATTAAGTCCTGCATTTGGTAAAAGTTGGCATAAGGCCCTAGGTCAGGAACTTTACCCTTTGGTTATAGCACTGTTTCTATGAGAAAATAATGTTTGATGCACTTTATTTCCACTTATGGTAAGTCTCCTAGTAATCTAATCCACATGTAAACGCCGCTTGTACTCCCAAGTGCTACTCACTGTCATGTTCCCACTGTGTTTGAAGGAAGTTTTTCTATGTTCTTTTGTGACTCTGAGTTGAAATAACAAATGAGAGAAAATAGTAGAAAATAAAGTATGTCTTAAGACCTAAGAGGTTTTTTTAATGCTTATTTATTTATTTTGAATGAGAGAGGGAGGGAGAGAGAAAGCAAGCAGGGGAGGGGCAGAGAGAGAGGGAGAGAGAGAAGCCTGCCCCATCAGTGCAGAGCCCGACATGGGGCTCGATCCCACGAACCATAAGATGATGACCTGAACTAAAATCAAGAGTCGGCCGCTTAACTGACTGAGCCACCCAGTCACCCCAAGGCCTAAGGTTTTTATTCTATTGACTTTTAGAACTGGCAGAAGTGGCCTAAGACTGGATAGAAAGACTATTACAATAACACTAGGATTTTGAAAACTACCTTGTGATAAACTATATCTGTATCTTATAGTATATATATGAAAAGTAATGAAATAGTGGTAGGTCTTAATACAATTACTACTGCTGCCCGGGTAGAATGGATGGGTGCCAATATTAAGAGCTAGAATGTGGTCTTATGTCACCAAGGTGACACATTAAGGGGTACCATTAGTTCTGAACCCGTTACCCCAGCCCATTCCCGGTGCCTCATTCCATCCTTCTGCTGGCGAATTTTCTCTCCCCCGTGCCCCTTCCAAAACAAGCTTAGCAGGTCTTCTTTTTCCGGCTTCCCCAAAACCACCAGAGCAAGCTACTGAACTTACCCCCATCCCGTAAGTAGGAGCCGACAAGTAATATGAGAAAGAAAACCAGCACTTCCACTCAAAGGTAACAGGGAAAATTGGAGGCTAATGTGGTGTTCTGTAGTGGAGTTTCTTTGAATTGTCACATCCGGTGTCACTTACTTGTCTTTTGAAACATGTCAATAACCGTGACACGTTATTTTCTGTTTGCATTCTAAGCTCTAGCCCACATTCAGTTAATAGTATCAATGGAAGAGAACACCGCCTGGGAATAGTATGAAATGGTGGCTGATGTAAACATTACTTAGACTTGGCTTTGAAATGTGCTTCTGTTAAGACATATTTACATATGGGCAGATCTGATTTCAAAATTGAAACAAACTTAAATGGAGGCCTAACTCAAGCCAATTGGAGAACTGTCTTGCCTCCTTATCCCAATGCCTACTCCCTGACCCTCTCCGCTAATGCTCCCTGAGGATGTAACTCACCTCCCCAAACTTCTGCCTCCCAATCTTTCTGGACTCAAAGACCTTTGTTTTGAGTTTTGCTTGGGATTGAGTCAAAGTGCTTCCTTTGCTAACGGGTACGTTTGATATAAAAACCAGTGTAAATATGGAAAACTGAAAAGCCAAAATAAGTAATTATTGGGAACAGCGGAAGCAAGAGTTGCTGTGGGGGATGCACCCTGGCTTGACAGTCGTTGGAATCCGTTTGTGCAACTTGCAGACTACTCTGCAGAAGCGTAACAGTTCACTTTGTGGATTACCGTAAAGTGTCTTCCTGTGTCTACCCAGCCTGCTCCCTCACACGCTTTCTTTGCGGCAGCTCACGGTGTTGTAATAGAGCCAGACAGACCAGCCTGCAGTTTCATGGCTACTCATGTCACTCAGGAGCTATGGGAGTTTGGGTATTGGATTTACCCAAGAGAATTACCAACCCCGTGTGCAAAGGGCACGTTATCTGATACACCTCCATCATTCTGCATTAATTTACATAGGAACATAACATCCTGACTATTTAGCATTAAGTTTTATGTTTATAAGAGTAAATAGTACTGTTTTATTGGATTGGGGGAGGAAAGAAAAGCTTTTTGACTGAGCATCAGCAGTCATTAAGTTTTGCTTAGGCATTTACTCCGGTCTGAGTGTGATTCATCCTTCTTGCCTAATTGTGTGTAGGTTTGGACCCCTTTCTAGAGTAGCTTCCTGACATAGACTACTTTAGTAATATTCCTCATCGTAAACCTAAAGGGTGCATTTACCTGGGAAGTTATGTAGGTCCCAGCTGCACGTTTAAAATGTGTTTATACTGTTGGCCAAATTGATGCTGAGTCATTGCCAGTTGAATGACTTTATTGTGCCTGCAGGAGTGGTCCTCAACCTTGAAGATGGGTCCCACGTCCCCTTCTTTATGAAGCTTTCCTTGATAGCCTGATTGGAAAATCTCTCTTTTTCGTCCAATGTCCTATCCTGTTTTGCTTATATCGTTCTTATATTAGTACCAAATTCCGCTTTTTTTTTTTTTAAATTTTTTTTTCAACGTTTATTTATTTTGGGGACAGAGAGAGACAGAGCATGAACGGGGGAGGGGCAGAGAGAGAGGGAGACACAGAATCGGAAACAGGCTCCAGGCTCTGAGCCATCAGCCCAGAGCCCGACGCGGGGCTCGAACTCACGGACCGCGAGATCGTGACCTGGCTGAAGTCGGACGCTTAACCGACTGCGCCACCCAGGCGCCCCAAATTCCGCTTTTTTTTAATGTTACTTTTTTAATCTTCCTACTAGATTATAAGATCTTTGAGAGTTTGAAATATGTCGTATATGAAGGTAAGCAACGATCCAATGAAAACGTCAGACAAAGCTCTGGATAACACCTAAGCTTCTCTCTGGAACCTTCTTTCTAGAACCTCCTCTGGAAGGTCCAATCCAGTCCAAGCCTACCCAGCTCTCAATTCCTATAATATTTATTCCAACCAAGCAACTTAGCCATTAACTATATACTTTCACATTAGTCTCTAACTATTTTACAT